CTGCAACAAATTCACAACATTAGCATTGGCAGCAGGTGCCCTGACAACTTATTAAACAGCCATGACGACACAGGTAAATTCACCCCACTGACTAACATCGGCAGGGGGCCTGCTGTGACAGTCAGAGGCTTGTGGGGTGTAAGACCACCACTGAAAGCAGTAAGAACAGGAACAAAAAAGATGAGGCAATTCAACCCATCCCGCTTAATTGGTAGTTAGCAGTTGAGTGAGGATCTCATACAGTTGCTTTTGAAGAACTCAAGGGCCTCAGCAACATTTCTGGGTAATTTGCTCCGCACTAACAGAACCCTTTGCATGGTAAATACAAGCTGTACATCTGTGACTCACACTATCCACTAGGCTGCAGGTGCCAGCTTGTGGGGTTCTGTCCCGTTCCGTTTGTCCAGCCTGGACAAGCACGTGCCTGTTCATTGGTATCTGCACCCCAGATGTACACACCCTGTCACAGCCAAGCACTGCGTTCCCGATCGCTGGATCTTTCACCTTCCCGTCTCACTAGTACACGTGGAGGGTGGGGAAATGTGCTGTCCTGCTGGAATGTTGTCATATCATGATGAGCCCCATACTGGCAGCAAGTGAGCTCCAGGATTTGATCAGTTCGGAGCTGCTACTGGGCTTCAGGTTACTATCAGCCACACGCGGAGAGCTGTAGTGACCAGACACTGCTGCCCAGTCTGTCACACTTGGACCCCCCCGTCGCCTGGTGCTCACATTGTGCTGCAGATCTGTGGCGTCTCTCGCTGGAGTCTTTCACAAACCCTTGAGTCATGGCTCACTGGAGCACTGGTGGGTCCAGCTGAGAGGACCCAGTCCAGTCCCCAGCGACCCCAGTGACCCCGGCGACCCCAGCTCAGGCAGCTGCCGTTCTCAGAACAGGCGGGGGACCTCGGCTCAGCTCTCCCGTATTCCCTTTCCTCCACACCTGCCAGGTGAGACCACCTCACCACCTGTGTCCTGTCAAAGCAGCGTTGCTTGCAGGAAGGCAACAGAATAGTGAGGGCCCTCGCTGGGCCTTCCAAAGACCTGCCCTGAGTTTTCAAGCTTTCCCCACAGGTAGTGACTGACACCTTTAACAGCCCACCTGTACTCCTTACAAAACTGACAAAACTGATGACAGGAATGCCAGAAATTCCCAACACTGCACCCCTATTTCAGTTCCAGGTGCTGCTCCGGGCCGGATTACGCAGATCACCGTGGCTCCCTCCCTTCTGCCGAGTTCCTGCAGGCCCCGTTTGGAAAGACTCAACTCCTGAACTATTTAAAAATGCAGTTTTGTTCAAAGGTCTGCTTTCAGCAATTAAATAAAGTCTGATACCTATTATGTAACCGATTTCAGACCTGTGCTAAAAAATCCAGAGGGAGTCGCGATCAATACAAGCCATGCCTTTCCCAGGCAGTGATGAAATGAAAGCTGTAGCAGAATGCTTCAGGCTTATTGTATTATATTTCAAATCAGCTGGAAAGCAGGAACAAGTGAATGAAAAGGAGAACGCTCACACTGGCACTCTTCAAAAAGAGACTAATTTTTGGAACGGAAGCGGCGCTGTTTCACTAAGCAACTCCTTCAAGTTTAACGGGTTTAAACAAAACTTTGCCTGACAAGACAAAGATTGCTGCTCGGTCTCAGCCACCTGAAATCACCTCCTTTCCCCACGGAGATGAAGTTCTGTTCTACAGGTGACAGAGAAAGAGGGAAAGATGAAGAGAAGGAGGAGGAGGAGGGAGGAGAAAGAGGTAGCACTGCTCTTCTAGGACAAAAAGAAGAATCTCTGCACAGTTGCGAATCTATTACCCTCTTGGTTTGGCTCAATATGTTATTGATCTGGGTGGAAGCACAGAAGGCCAGATTTATTTTCTTATTAGCAGCACCTAATGTCTTATTGGGGCAGATTAAAGGTCTTTCGCTGCCCGGAGGAGGAAAACAATCTGACCTCTTTCATTAAGAAAGCAGAATATCTAATTACCAAAAGCAGGGGCGTCCTGTCTGAATGACCAACTGTGTCTTGTGGGCAGTGAAGCACGTAGACGAGTTGAGAGAGCTGTAAAGTCGCAGAGTTAAGACTCACTGAACAACACAGACCTGTCCTACATAGTCCTCAGCCTTGCGGTACAGAGTGCTAATGGCGAAGTAAAAAGGTGAGATTTTGAAAGAGCTCTGCTCTCACTCTGGCTCTTAATAGCTTGTCACATAAACACATCGATATACACTAAAGAGCGTTTTTTTCCCCCCTGAAAGAGTTGTTTCTCTAACGCTTTGTACTAATTGTTACAAGCTCGCACAAATTCAGACAGAAGATCACAAGAACAGAGCATAAATGCAAGTACCAACGATGATCGTGAACAGACTACGATCCGTCTTTGAGTCGCCATTTTTCAGGCCACCTCTATCGCCAAACAACACAGCACAGCCCAGGAGTCAACAGGGGCGCAGCTAAAAGAGCAGACAGAGATCACGGCGCCACGTTGGTCGATCGAGTTTAATTAAAGCACGTTTGGTCTGAATCAACTTTCAAACTAGGGGGGCTTTAATCAAAAACCAGCCAGAGACGCACGTTATCTCTGACACCGGCTTTCAAAGGCAAGCCGAACGACAGCTGGCTGAAACAAGTGCTTCCCTGTTTGCTTTCTTTACCGATCAGGTGCTGCTTCTGAAGTGCAGACAGAAGCTGTTAAGAGTAACGCTTGCTCACAACCCGCCTTCCCTGGTCAGGTTGCTCTTAGCTCCGGATGCTCAGATACTCAGCATCTACCACCAGAATTAAAAACTAGGGAAGATGGCATTTAGTGTACAGCAGAACTGAATTCACTTCTCCTGGAGGAAGGCAGGCTAGAACAGATGGGCAGTGGCTGATTTTGTCTTCACGCAATTGGAACTGCCTGGCGGGATACAAAAAATTAAAAAATCGGTTCTAAAAAACCAAAAAACGCAACTTTAACTGAAATATCAAAAGGCCAGCTTATTTAGCCTTCATTTAAATGGCCGAATTACTCCCAGATGAGTCAATGCTAATTATCGTAATACTTTTTGAAGGAAACCTCAGCGCTTAGGAAAATGATTCAGTTTCAGGTTGATATTCTAAACGGCAGAGGCAGCACAAAATGTTCCATCAGGCGCTTTAGACTTGTTTTTTAATATGGAGGTCAATTATTCACTGTCATATGGCGTTGATATCATTACCGAGCTGCCGTTTTTTAATAAGCCTCATATACCTCCGTGGGGTTTAATTACTTTCATGTCAGGCTAGCTTGGAACATCTTTCTCAAATTTAATAATCAAGATCCAAATTCAAGAAGGATCCCACCACCACAGCTACATAAACCAATACCGCAAGCCTAATTTCTCCTAAATAACTGAAATCCTCCTTGTCTCTATTCAGTGACAAAAAAATCGGTGGGTATAATTCCAGATCCGGTCCATTTCTTACCACCCTCACTGGGCATGAGACCAGCTGCTTATTGTTTTAGAAGTGGATACCAACAGAGCCTCTATTCTGCTTTTTTCACCTCCTTTATTCTACATTTTAGGAGACCAAGTGGTTTCCCCCCTAGCAGTCTTCAAACCGTATAGAACCCATTCAGTTTTAAAATCAAATGGCTTCTAAAACTGTGCAAGCCTGAACAGTTCCCTCAGGCTGTCAGTCGACTCATTTTTAATTCCACACTGCAGAAGCAATGAAACAGCACAAGAGGAACAAAAGACAAAAAAGACAACGGCCCTCCTGTCCCAAAAGTTCCTGCAGCCTCCATTCTTTTCCCACTTTGTTACAGGATGATAAATGAAACACTGACCGGGACAGATCGCAAACAGGAACTGAGCCACTGAGAGCTGAAGCCCCCTGGTCATTTCACTGCGTCTGGAACGCTGACATGTGGTCAGGCTGGGGGGGGGGAGGGGCACAAACGGCCCTACGCAGTGAAATCTGCCACCGTCCCGGGTCGCGGACCCCAAGAACATATTTTATTTCCCCCACGGCCTGCAGACATCACCCCACTTGCCGTGAAACAGACGCCAACCATCACCGTGAACTCCGCGCAGCGGCACGTGAGTGAGGAGGGTAAAAACAGGAAGGATGATCACATCCCTCAGAGCAGCACAGCAGGGAGGTGCAGTGCTGTACGAGCGCCTGCCCCCCCCCGCGAGAGAAGGCAAGAGACGCCCATCTCAGGTGCATCGCTGCAGCCCAGGTCTCGGGCTAAATAAAGCAGAGAGCTCATTGTTTACAGTCAGCCTGCCAGGCCTCGGGAGACCCGGCAGGAGCGCATCTGCGCAGCAGGGGACTCGGCTCCGCGTCAGCTCCCACGACAGGCGGGGCGGCGACTCCCCCCGGCACACGCCTGACATCGCGGGACCTGCTGCTAATGGCGCTCGGCGGGGCCGGCAGCGATTCGCCGTCCCCACCACCTGCCTGCTCCCCGAAGTCCAGCGCCCCCCCGCCCTCCACCTCGGCTCCTCTCGCAGAGGTTTCTCAGCAGCAGCATCTCGGTTTCCCAGATGATCAACGTCTCAGAGCGTCTGCCGCACGAGAGGCTGCACGACCAACAACAAACGGCCCTCTCTTTCACGAAAGCAGGCGTCAGGACAAAATGTCCCCCGAGCAAAGGCGTGGCAGACCAGTGCCTGGTCACCACAAACAGAAGCGAGACAAAAGCAACACAAGCACACTATAAGGAAGCAGGAGCCTTGTGTTAACAGGTACTGAGGAATTTCAATGTACTGAGCACTGACAACTCAAACACGAATTAATGTCATATCACAACTTCCAGACCCTGAAGCCCAACATGAAACTCCAAATATCTCCTCATTAGAAAACACAACTCAAGAATCCATTTCTCTGTTGCATCTCTACTACCGTGACATTAAGATGTCCCCTGTTACCTGCCAATATCCCGCCCGACCGCAGCATGGACTCTCCAACTCAAGCACGTCCCCGCGCCATCTTCCAGCCACAAGCTCCACACGTGACTTCTGTAGGACTTACCCCGTTAAGACGACCACGAAATCCATTACATTCCAGCCGTTCCGGAGGTAGGAGCCTTTATGTAACACAAACCCAAGGGCGATGATCTTGATGCCGGCTTCAAAGCAAAATATTCCAATAAAGTAGGGCTCCGTCTTTTCCTGCAAGGTAAGGGGAAGGAGAGGAAAAGGGTTTTGTCGCAGTTGAATGAAAAGTGCACGAGGAACTGATCCGAGGGGAGGAGAGCTTGTCTTTGCGTCTCCACCACTTCGACAGCTGAGACGCAGAGTCGCAGAGCACAATATCAACACTTGGAACGACCCAGGGAAGCCGACTAGACTCCCACTGCATGGCCACTCAATGCCTTGCAGGCTTTACCCACCTCAGCTCCTCGTGGAAGACAACACTAGTTAGCGTTTCGCTTTTGTAACCTTATTCTGACCACACCTGCACGCACACTGTGACTGTTTCTGAGTTGAAATAAAAACAAACACATTCTGGATAACACCCTGCTAACGGTAAAACCTGAGACGGGGGAGGCTAGTTTGCTGCCCCGAGTTATTCGCACACAGGGTCAATAAAACCCGCATCATCTGAAGAGAAAGTTATTTAATGCAAAAGACAGTGAAAGTTGCTGTAGCAAAGAATAAAAATTATATACCATATTACAAAGGTCACAAATTCATACACTCGTCAAGCTGGAGATTTAGAGACATTAACCCTGCCGAACAGCAGTCCTTCAGGACTAGAGCTGAGCTTCCCGGAGTTTTCTGCCAGTACTGCTTGTACTGGGACAGACCACCCCCTCCCTCCTCCCTCTCCATATAAAGTCCCATTGGGAATTCTCCCCCCCCCAAGGAACGGCACAGGTGAGAAGCCAGTCAAACTTGACCAGCAAATCTCTGGCAGGTGGGAGGAAATGAGAGCAATCTGATAAACACACTGACAAGGAAGGTACTCAAAATAACTGGCTCTGCTATTTAAAGGAGGAGACACTAAGTCCTGTGATGTAATTCCAGTACCACATGTTGAACCAAGACGAAACTTAATAGGAGAACAAGTGATGTTGGAGATTCTCGGTATCTATTATGCACAGATATAAAAATGCTCTTATTTTATTTATGGACTTTCACCGGAGCCCTTTTCTGTCTGCCTGGTACTTCTGGGAGCAAGACGCAATGCCCTGAAAGCGATCAAGACACACTGAAGAGATCCAGGTGGGGAGCCATGTTAGTGTGTGTTGGATGCCAAGGAACAGGTAAAGGTTAATTCAACACTGAACTGTGGTGAGAAGAAAATGTTTCGGCTGCTGAGCCTTTGTCAGGTGTCAGACAGAAATGTGTCACAGACTTGTGGTTTCTGCATGAAAAGGAGAAAGTCTAAGACTTTCACACTACACTGCACGTATCGAGAGCACATACAGTCTACTAAAGCCCACGCCCAAAGCAAAAGCAAACACTGTAAACAGAAAGACTATTGCATGCATTATGAAGTTCCAGCCATACTAGAAAAAGCAGTGAGGCCTCAAGAGGCAACATCTGTGGCGCTGTGACCCCTGATGCAGGGGTCTTCTGCTCCAAAGGGGTGGCACTACCCCCCAAGAAAAGATGCATCACGCTGTCCCTCACGTTAAAAAACCATTACTGTATTGACAGAAAAGGGCTGAACTGATTAATACACAGCCCTCAATTTGTGCCACTAACCGTGACTTTCAGCAAACAGATATTCCAATAGATCTGGGAGTATTCATTAGAATGTATTTTCTCTTTATATATTAACAAGAGGCAGATGGCCTCCTCAGTTCCCCTCCCCAGGGCAAATCATAAAAAAAGCCACATCAATAGCTAAAGCCATAGATATCATTATGATTCACAAAAAATGAGTTTAATATGTTTAGAAAACAAATAATGAGCCGCAATGAGAAATCATACTTTCGTACAGACAACAACCCCATTGAAACACTTTTTTGTTATAACGTGAATGCTTCAGAGGAAGAAAGAAAATCGTAAATGAAGCGACGTGTGGGAACAGCAGCAGAGTTACTCTTCACTCACCAGTCTCCCGGACATGGGGGTCTTGTCTCCAGAGGGCAGGTGCTGGTCCAGAGCCAACACGATGCAGTTGGTGATGATGGTGGCTAGGATCATGTACTCAAATGGAGTGTGCTGGTCAAGGAAGGCAACAAGCACGAGAAGCGACAACACAGCATGGCTGCGCTTTGAGAAGAGCCAAACCGGGGGCATAAAACACACAGACAGCAGCCAATAACACACAGGAATAAAAAGAAGGGAAGAATGTGAGCAATTCTAAATAATAGTGTTTTTTTTCACCCAAGCTCTGACTGCTTTCTCAATAACCTCCCGGGTTTCTGAAATTAGCATGGTCTTCCCTTCCTCCAGCGTCTCGACAGTCTGTGGGAAGGACACATCCCATGGCTGACAAACGCCCCGCTCCGAGCCTGCCGGAGAGCCGGTGCCGACCTTCGACCTCTCAGCGCCGCGGCGTGCGTCGCTTCCCGCCCTCACCACGCCACGCACTGGCACGCAGGTCACACGGCCAGGCAAGGGGCCTGGGCAAACACCGGGGCAGACTTCACCCTCTGTGCCGTGTAAAAAGAGCTCGTCGTTAATAAGTGGGTCTCCGCAGCACAAGAGAGCTCACCAAAGACTTAAAATGACATAACACTGGGTGCAGTTTTAATTAGCTGAATTAAGTTCTGCATATGTATCTTCAGTGATGGCGTGGAAATTTCGAATGAGCCTCCTGATGAACCCCAGCCTCACTTCAGCCTTTATCAGCTCAGACACTTCAGCCACCCCCTGTCCCAGACACCCCACAGGGAATCGGCGCCCCCCCCGCCCTTCTCCATT